AGTAAACATACATTCGTCTAAAATTAATTTTCTTATTGGCCTATTCATTTTGACTAACCCTGTATATTGTATTTAGTTTTTACTTGTAAACCGCTCTAAGTCCCCTTCGGGGTAAGAAGGGCGGCATATAAATGTCGTAATAAATAAATAATAAAATAATGGATTTTGGGCCTTACAGAACCACTTCCTTCAGAACTTACTGGGAGTAAGTTCCTGGCTGAGAGCCTCTTATGCTTGTCTCCTTGCATTACTGAATGAAGAAGAAATCTCCAAAGAAGATGCATGAAAGTAATGCAAAGAACTTTATGTGAGTTTGTTGCTCCAGATGGACTGAGCTATTTTGAAACTGGAGGTTTTGTGCTTTTGAAGCTGCTTGCTTAATATTCTCCTTGATCCTGCTACTTAAGAGTAAACTTGGATTTCCCCTTTGATCTGGCTACCAGTATTTAAAAACTCTAAAATTACACAACAGCAAAACAACAGAGAGGAAACAAACAAGGACATCTAATCACCTCTCAACAAAAGATTGCCTCAGGCACTGCCAGGCCATCAAATGCTAATCAAGGTGCTCAGTTGAAACATTCACACCATGCTCCAACAGACAAGAGTTCTTTGTCCCACCCTAGTCATTCCACAGATATATAAACCCATTTTCCTAGTTCCAACAGACCTCACTACCTCTGAGGATGCTTGCCATAGATGCAGGCGAAATGTCAAGAGAAAATGCCTCTAAAACATGGCCATGTAGTCCAGAACAACCTACAACAACCCGGTGATTCCGGCCATGATAGCCTTCAACAATACTTTGATTTCCCCATTTTCTTGGCTCACATTTGCTCATTGTAGATGCCCAAAAGGGCCGGGGAAGTCTGGGCAGGACTGCACGCATGTGGTTTGCTTTTCACAAACCTGTAACCAGAGTCACTTTGGGAGACTCTCCTCCTCCCTCTGGCTCTCCTCCAATGGTGGAGGCAAGAGAGGGTGGCATCATTCCATAGATGTATAAACCCCACTTGCCCAGTTTCCAGCAGGCCTCACAACCTCTGAGGATGCCCTGCCACAGATTGGGGGCAAAATGTCAGGAGAGAATGCTTCTGGAACATGG